GCCGATTGTGAGTAATGTTTTAGACGTACTGCCGACTGATGTTCTTTTAGTCGTGTACTTATCATTCTACCAGTTTNACCTATGTATACTTTACCGCATGAACAAGGTATTTTGTACACTCCTGGTGTATCTAATGGCAGTCTTTTGTNTTTTGGATTGTTAAGAATCTGTCCTAGTTTATTCGGTGGTTTGTAGACCGTTTGTATGTTGTGTTTGTTCAGGATTCTGCCAATCTTATCTGTGACACCCTTTATGTATGGGAGGTAAGTGGTTCGTTTCTTTAAGTTTATTGTTTGTTCTGGTGCTGGTGTATTTTGAGAGGGCTTATTTTGATGTTTTTTAATTACTTTGTTTATTTGTTGCAGTGTGTAGCCATTTTGTTGTAGAGTGTTTTTTAATTCTTTGAGTTCGTTTTGAATGCTGTCTTTGTCGCATATAGTAAATGCTTTATAGATCAACGAGTTTATCACAGCTTGTTTTTGGGCTGGGTGATGATGTGATGCCGCGTGTAAACATCGATTGGTGTGGGTGGGTTTTCTATAGATTTGATGGCCTAAAGAGCCGTCTGGTTTTCTTGTGACCAGAACATCTAAAAATGGAAGTTTACCATGTTGTTCTTTTTCTACTGTGAAGGTAACGTTTGGGTGTTGTTTATTGAGAAAGTCTAAAAAGTTATAGAGTTCTCTCTCCCCATGTTGCCAAATGACAAAGGTGTCATCTACGTACCGGTACCATGTTTGTGGCTTTAGTGGGGCTTTTTTTATTTTTGTGTTTTTTCTTATGTATTTCCATCTGACTTTAAGACTATTAATAGCCAATTGTCAAATCTGATACTGACGAACTTAAACCTTATTTCTCTTTCTTGGATCTGTTTAAAACTAAAAGATAATCTGTTAATTTAAATGTGTTTTCAACTTGATGTTTATCTCTCTGTGTTATTGATATGAACATGTTTGTATATAAGCTGATGGTGGGAATATTGGTATATATTGTTGTATCTTGAGATTGCGCGCTAGTACACAGTGTCCTGTGCTGACTGTTTTGGATGCTGTCTACTCGCGTGTTGTCTATTCGAAGTATGTATTATTTTTTATATTGTTACTTTTCATTTGTAATCACGGTTTTTTCTTTTCTTTTTTCAATATGTTTTGCGCTTATACCCTTTATTTTATTATTAGATCACATTTGTATACACTGAAGAAGGTCTAAACCTGTGACCAAAACGTCTGTTTAATTAATAAAGAATTTTTGTGATACACGACCAACTTGTATTTTACTGCTCGGATCGGCCTTTCAACTCAATTTTTGACAATTTCACGAGCGAATTAATGATTCTACTAATTAAATTATTAGTAAAAAAATATTTAATATAAAGCTATACATAAATAATATATTTTTT